CTACATCCCATGACTGGGTGAAATAATCACTACAAATATGTCTGTATCTGTATACTTATTAGCCATTTATCACATCAGCATTAGTGTCAGTTATCCCAGATAAAGCACGGATAATACTTCCAGAAGATGGCATGTTGATGTAATTCAACATGTGTATCAAATAGCTCTATTCCAGATTCCTGGATTAAGGTTTTATAAATCTAGGTCCCAGTCTTGCAGCTGAAAACCTCTGCTGATTTAAACAGTGCTGAGTGGGCACAGGTGCTGCTCAGCTGGGGTTAAATCCCTTCTGCTTTGTTGTGCTACTTCAACAAAACGGAGAGGGAAGATTTGCCCCAGCTGCTGCCTTGACAGAAGATAACAAATAAGGGGAACCTGGGTGGATGTGGTAACTTTGGGCACTGTCAAGTCTGACACACTTCAAGGCTTCTGTCACACCTGCAGGTTCAAGCCTGTGAGGTGTTGTCTCTGTGGGAGGGCTGTTAGTTTTGTGACAGTGAGGCTTCTTTGAGCCATCAAATGTGCCATGTGATTGAATTCCCCAGGGGCAGGCAGCTTCATAAGACTACCCATGGGCCTGTTGTTTTGGCAGGTCTCCGTTTTTATTTTCCTACCTTTTGATGCCTTTTTATCACACTAACGTTTTTAGGATGCAAAATTTGTATTAAGCCAAGACTGTCTGCTGGATCTTCCTCCTTTTTGTGCTGTATGATTTTAACCAGTTGAAACTGTTGTTACTGGTGCTTATTTATGCTACTTCTCTTTTTCTTTTTGTCGGCAAGGACAAAAGTGAACTTAGAAGTAAATGTGGACACAGTTGAGGTAGCATCTGGTCCTAAAACCCATGGAATTTTTGCACGTATTTTTATGCTGAGAAATTGGCAGTATTAAATTTTCTTTGCTGAGCTGTAGGAGAACAGTAGCAGTTCAAAGTTGCTGTGCCATAATACTATAAATTTTAGTCCTCTGGTGCTGGAAGCAGGAAGACTGAACAGCCTATTTCTTTTTAAAAGAGCCAGAGTAGAAATGATTAAACTTATTTTTCTGAAGCTGCAGCTACTCATAGCTTACAGAGTCAATTCACTTGCTCAAGTGACTGTCCTAACATGCTGAGGTATCAAGCAAGACTGCCTGGTCTAGCTGGTGTGGAAAGAGGACCTGCAGAGAGACCCCATGACCTTATGGGGCAAAACTTAGGGGTCACAGTATATGTCCAAGTTGTTTTTTCCTTCAGTGCAACCAGCTTCTCTGTAGGCTCTTAATCACTGGAACAGTTGCTAGATAAGACCTGTGACAAATGCACTGCACAGGCACACTCACTTTGGGTTTTAAGATGACAGCAAAATTTGGATTCCACTTAGTATTTAACCCTCTAAATCACCTTTTTCACTCTCCAAAGCTCTAAGTATCTAGCAGGTTCTATGTAGTGCTCTTGCACTCCTGGGAAATGAAATAATGTAGTCCCACAGTTACAGAGAGCTTTTTAAAAGCGTGCTGTTGGCTACATCTTTCTGACGAAGAGTGAAGTATTTTCTGTGTGTGTACACACTTGTGCATATGCTTGGCCACCCGCAATGTTTTCCTGTATGTCTTAGTTACTGGGCTGTAAAACTGTTCATACGCTGGCACCAATATATCTGTATTAATTTCCATCCCTTGGTCTGCAAACACCATAGTAAATTGCCTGAAGTTAATCTAATGGTAGGATACAGACAGCTGTAGTTGCAAACCAACCAGTTGGAAGTAAGTGGGCAAGAAAAAACAGCAAAATATGGCTGGAACTAGAGACTGAAAACTTTAAAAAATAATTTTAGGCAAGCATGTTACGTTAATTATGCTGGCATATAAACCCAGATTGGTCTTTCTGGCAAATGCATGAATAGTTTAAGGAGTGCAGGGAAGAACATTTTGAACACAGTAGGACAACACTGTAGTTAATTGCTGTATATTGCATCTTGACTCACAGAATGTGACTGTTGGCTTAGACTAAAAGTAAAAGGAGAAAAAAACCCTAATCTGCTGCTGGTGTGTGTGGGGCTGTATCTGTAATCTAAGAGACGGATTTTCATTTCAGAATAATCAGTGCATTCCAGCTGGGTTGGAAAACTACTACTCTGAACAAGACTCCAGCGCTCGAGGGAAATTTTACACAGTCATAAACCACTACAACCTGGCCAAACAAACCATCACGCGCTCCGTGTCCCCGTGGATGACAGTACTGTCAGAAGAGAAACTGTCTGAACAGGAGACTGAAGCTGCTGAGAAATCAGCTTAGTATGATAAGCGAATTATTAAAAATATGTAATTTGAAGGTAACTAAGGGACTTCAAGGAACTTTTCACTGAATATAATTATGAATAATTTAGAGGTTACTCATGTTTATGGTGCAATTGCTTCTGTTTGCTGATACTGCTTTGCAAAAAAAAAAAAAAAACCAAAACAAAAACTTGCTGCAGAACATTCATGGGCATAACCCCAGGTGCATATCAGCATTGCTGTAGAGCTTTGACACCATTTTCAATGTTAAAAAAAAATCCAATGCTAAGATATGTTCTTGCAGTTTATTGGATACTGATAGATTTCATCACTGGATTTTCAGGGCTTGGACCTTAGATAAATGATGTGTTCTGTTGTCTGAACAGATACTTAATTTGTTAAGTTTTTTAATTCTCTTTGTCATTTTGCAAACTGAAACACCCCAGCCATAACTAGAGTGATCTCTTGTTTAGCTGAAAGCTGTCAGTAATATTTAGTTTGGGCTCAAGCAAGAACAGTAGTCAGCACTGATGTCGGGGGCGTAATGTAATGACTTGTATGGAGAAAGAAACTGTCAGGTCGCATTTTTCCTTATGTTTCCTTTACTGTTGTTTATTTGTAAGTGATAATGAAGTTCTCTGCAACAAGGCATGCTCAATGTTTTCTTATTGCTGTCAACAGGATTTAACTGCATTTCCACTGTGGCTTTAGCATCTTGGTTAAGGATGTGCACTGAAACACAAACTAGATAGACATTATGGAAAAACACCGACAGTTTTAGTGGTGGGTGTCGAGGATAGTGTAAAAACTATACAGTTCAGGATGTTCTAATGAGAAATGACATCTTTTGATGATCTTTTGATCATACTTTAAGAGTACATGTAGTCTACTATGTCATTTGTTGGTTACAACTGAGGGAGTAATATGTCTAAATTTTCTCCTGTATTACATTCACATTTTCCCTTCTTATTAATTAGAAAGAGCTTTCTGTTTATGTATGGTTTGCAGTTTGATACTTTTTAAAACACAGAGCATCACAAGTGAAACAGTAGCGTATTAGATACCACAACTGGCTGTTTTGAAGCTACATGTGAAACAGAGTGAGGAGTAGAACTGTTTGTGTATGGCTTGGGAGGGGAAAAGACGTAGAAGAACATAGTATTGTGGATGCACGTTAAAGTTCCATTGTAATTACAAACTTACCTATTCTTTGTGTGAAATCATGTTTTCATTTTTATTATAAATCTTAAATATACATTACAAAAGGACATTATTAATTTAACATACAAAACAAGTGTGTGAAGCATCTAGGCAAGCAAGTCACCTTTTTGTTCATGTTACTTGAATGGGACAAGGGGTAGTGGACATGTCAAAAGTTCCTTTTTTTTTTGTTTTGGTAGAGTCTATTACAAGATTGAAAGGGAAGCATCAGTATGGGCTGTTTCTCAAGATCAGTAGTAGAACAAACATGTTCAGCTCTACTTCTGTTTCTCTCCAGCAAAATTGCTTTATCAATGCCTTTCATTCCAATACAGTAAAAATAACCATTATGACTCAATGCTCAAGGCTTGATAACGAAATGTGCATCACACAAGGCAGCTGTAAAAGGCTGTTAATATATTAAGTCATCATGGTATGTGGAATGCATCAAAAGCAATAAATTATGTGCCAGTTTTTTTCTTTGCATTTAAAAATATCAAGCTTGTGTTAAGATCTTCAACACATACCATGTTTGCAATTTTTAACAGGCATCTGCTTTATTGAATGTAATTAATTCACATGTAACTTTTGACATTTTCACTCTGTGCAGAGTAAAGAATAAGAGCGATGCTGCTTGTTGCATATAATGTATAGAAATATACATTTCAGAAGAGATATGAAACCACACACATTTCATCCCAACGTATTTACAGAGGACATTCAGATTTTACAGGATGGAAAGATCTGTTCCCCAAGACTGTCCTACATAGAAATGATTCATGATACATCTCCTCCCCTTAAATTTAGGACAATAAAAATTTTAATGCACAAGTAAATACTGATGAGAAACAACTTCTTTTTCTCCTCGTAACAACAAACAATAAAAATTAGTAAGCCTTACAATCTAGGAGAAGCAGATTGCTTATGCTTCTTGAAGTCAAAACCAGTTTTCCTCTGATTTAATAGGAGGGAGTTTATTGATTCTTATCTACAGTTGGTTTTGAGGTATTTTTTTTTTTAGTTAACAAACTGCTCCCAGTTTTAGTACTTGGACTTTAATACTGTCCATCCTTCGGCTTTGTTCCAGCATCCCAGAACATCTGTTTCACTGCACAATCTGTCTATGTTGTATTCTCTCTTTTCACCTAGAAGTAAAGCTCTTTAGTTGACTCCTTATCATTATTGCTACTAAAAAATCAAGCTGATTTCTCAGTCAAGTAGTTTCAAAGGATTAGAAGTAGAGGTCATAGATGTGCAAAGTGATCGCTGTGTACTGAAGTGGTAAATAAACACCTGAGACAGTGTAGATACTTTTGCACAGTAACACTTCTCTCTCGCTCTGGGGTGGGAGCTGGACTTTCAACATCACAAGTGGGTGGCTGTGACAAAACCAGTATTGTTATTTTTTCTTCCATTAGCTCTGCTCCAGCTTGTAGCTTTCTTCCCAGCCCTTTTAAAGAGTGTTCTCTGAAGGATTAAGCGTGGTTTTATATTTGACAAACGGATTTAAAATGAAGGCTATCAGTTCCCTCTGCACTAATGGATATATGCACACACTTATTTATTGGAAAATATGTCCATCACAGAGGTATGAAAAAAATGCATAAAATATGTAGGTATGCCATATACCCAACTCCATTGAAAAAAAAGTCAAAAGTTTTACAAACAAAGCACGTAGACAATAGTATGTTTAATTAATTATCATACCAGTCCAGGAAAAGCAAGGAAAATGAACACATCACAAGGAAGAATAGGATCCACACTCTAAATCCAGCATTGTTTTTGATGGCCTGTGAGGAAAAGGTTATCCCTGTTACCATCACCAGTAAACACACAGAATTTCAACAATGGCAACCCAGGATGCCTGTTAGTGGCATCACCCTTCCCTCCCACGTGAGAAGTAACCACGGTGGTAGTGGATCAAGGGTTGGACTTGATGATCTCAGAGGTCCTTTCCAACCTGGCTGATTCTATGATTCTATGATAAGTAACATAATTTGCCCTTAATTTCAGGTAAATACAGGTCAGATAGGCTGTACCTCTTTAGAAGTCGCACTCAAAATTTTCAAATCAGACATTTAGGAAAAAAAAAAAGAAAATCCCAAGATCCCATGCAATGGAACTCAAAACATTAAGAACGACATCAAAAAGTACATGCTTCTAGATTAGTGTCAAGTTCCAAAAGTGAAATTCCATGATTAGAAGTAAGAAGCCCTTCATCTTTCTAATAAACATCTGAGTTAAACAAATGAAAAACCAACAAAACCAAACAAAAAACCCCCTGACACCTATGGAGGTTGATATAGCACAGTGAGTGCTCTCACAGCAAGTATTTTTCTAGGATTCTTCTTCCCAAAATTGAGACCAGCATGCACCAGGGGACCTGGTTTTCACTCTCATTTTTCAGATTTACAGATGGAAGATTTTTTTTTACATGGTACAAACATCAGTGTGAGTGAGAAAGTTTTGTATTTAGCACCTTTTGCTAATTTCTCAGTGTGGTTTAGGAAACTTAGTTCTACCTAAAAATGTGAAAAATGAAGCAAAAATAACTTCAGTTCTTGCCACATTTGATGCACTTTTCAGGAGAGCAGAGCAGTAAATAACATCCTCGAGATACCTTTTCTGTGTGCTCTCAGGAGGGCCATTTACTCAATAGCCTAATTTAGGAACTCTGTTTTTATTGAAATCTCAGTTACTGAAAGAAAACATCCTTTCCTTCTAATTACTACGACAGTGGAAGAGATTTTTTACTAGGAACATGTGAGAAGTGTTCACGGTGGCAAAGAGTCTCTTCTGCTAATGCTTAGCATTTAACTCTAGTTTCAGCCATTTCAGCACTGTCTTTTATTGTAGTCTGCAATTTCTGCCTCCTCCCCACCTTTTTTTTAAAACCAACTTCACAGGTGCTTAAATGCAAGCCAGGTGACCTTCATATTTAAAAAATTGATGAGGCCAAGTAGATTTCTGCAGACCTGTGAGCTATTCAGATCATGGTTAGAACTAATGAAAACCTCAGCTAACTTGAACAGTTTTCCCAAACCCATGTCCTGACACCCCAGCACCCACTGCACCAGTCCTGTGGGGGAGCTCTCACGTGCTGTTTAAAGCAACACTTGGGAAAAACTGAAAGTTAAGAGAAACAAGTGAGTTTAAAACACAACTTCAAGACATTACCTCTCTTATGTCTTCGTTGCCTTCTTTGATATTCTCTGTTGCACCCACAACTAATTGATGGATATTGTCAATATCAGTTTCCTGTTTTAAAAAAGAAATAAAACTGAGAAACAGTAATGAAAGTTAGGAAAAAACCACTTCCAAGCACTTAGAGAACAAGCAGAACTCAAAAATAAAATCAAATCTGGTATTACTAACATCTTTGTTTCATTGATGCAAAGGTATAGAGTAATTACAATTAAGTTGCAATTTCTTTATCTGTGATTTTATGAGCCTGGAGACCACCAAGATCAGCAGGAAGTCTCCCATTTATCCAGAATCAAGTTTAACCTGTCTGATATTTCCCAGCTCTTTTGGAAGAGGTGACACCACTTCCAGAAAGGATGTTATGAAATAACACATTTAACAGAGCACCAGTTCTGAGGCAGAGGAATCATCCTAACACATGTTGTGTTTTCCATTCCCGGTACATACTAATAAGTAACAACAGTGAATATCTTGATTTTGAATTTGAAAAACAAACAAAAATCTTTTCCTTCACATGTGCACCAAAGATTCATTAATCTTATGTTTACACATTGCATGCAAGCAAGAGCAAAATATCCCCAAGAAAATCTTCAAGCTTTATTTGCTGCTGCAGTATTAAAATACACTAACCTGTTGCAAGACTTTCTCAGTGAATATCTCTTGTAATCTGGAGATTTCCACCACTTTTCCTTCAATTTGTCTTGGCAAAGAAGAGAAATAGTCTATTAGAAACTAAGTGCAAACATGTTGCTGTTGCAGATTCAGCTCTCCAGCCCAGTAAGTGGCTGTTCAGGAGGCCGCTGTTTTGTCAGCTGTCAGTGGGGCAGCACCAGTCTGTGATCAGGGCTCGGACGTTTGTGGTTGGAAAACAACCAGCCCATAGAGAAGCCCTGGAAAAGGCATCACCCAGCAGCGCTCAGCGAGCTGCCTTCACTGCCAGGGGTTCACCTGTCTCCCTTCTTCTGTCTCACATAACAACATCCATGGTGGGCCCTAAGCAGCTGATTTTGACATATCCTCTTTATATGCTACTATGACCTGTGGAATTCACCTTGCCTGGGACTAATAATCCAAAAGTCACTTTCTAGCTTGAGTAGCTGTTCAGCTGTTCTGCACAGCAAGGGAGAGTGAACGGTGCTGCTGTAAGCACAGCCAGGTCTCTGCACAGGGTCAGCAATGGCACCTCCCCCACTGCTGTCTGTGTATGCAGTGGACCACAGGATATGAGTGGAAAACTTGGGTAAGGGAGAATGTAAACCTTCCAAATTTAACAGTACTATTCTGGATAGTTTGTGTGACCCTCAGAATCATTCTTTACCCTGTGGGACAGCACACAGCACCCTTCCTGGGCGCTCCTGTTTCATGCCACCTCCTCCCACACCACTCCAGTTGGTGCAGGCAGGTGTCCTGCAGCCAGTACACTGCGTGTGGGTGTTGTCCAGGTCACAGGACTGGCACATGCCCCAGTTTGTTGAGTAACAGAAAATTGTACCTGACTTCATCAAAGAGATTGTTCATTTCACCAACAAGTCTCTGGTTCTCCTGTTCAAACTGGAAAAAGGGAGGAAATGACACACATGAGTTCACATGCCTGGACTCGGGGACCTTTCTTAATGCCCACGGTGATAACCAACTCCCACCCTTTCCTTGCCATCCATTACAGTATGTCTCAACTAAAACAATCTTAAAGTTACTCAAGTTTCTTTGCAGTAAGGAATGATACAGTGGATGAATCTGTCCTTTCTGTATTATTTTAGAAATTTCAGTGGAGAAATCTTTCATGCTTGTGAAAGCATGTGATTCTCTTCATGCCATCTTTGCGCTGTCCTTCACATTCATGTACTGCCGGTGGAATGAATTTAGGAGCCTTTAGATTTTGCTGCAGTATCAAATACTTTACAAATGCACTGGCTGTAGTTATTCCAAAAGAGCTCCTTCAATTAAAACTCATGAGTATTTAATGAAACATTTAAATATATTGTTAGCACTGCATTTGTCAAATAGAAGGCTTTTTGCAGGAAAATAAGCTTTGGCTTTTCAAGCATACATGACTCTCAGATAATTTGGGACTCATTACAGAACAAGTGACCATGCAGCAAGTATGATGACAAGATTTGTGGAAACAAAATCTGCACAGCCATAATACTGGAGAGAAGGGTCTCCCATGTCTCAGTGGATCTTACTGGAAAACACGTGATGAGGGCTCCCACACTGCCACTGTGCCCCACACTTTGTGCAGTAATATTTTTCATCTTGCTTCAGGCCCAGCAGAGCCTAAGAGAAACAGTACCTGACTCTCTGTAAGCAGCATATTAAATGTCAACCTGCATGCCTTAAGGTGAAGTTGTTACTGCTAAAAATCAGAAATTTGTAGATTTAATCTCACTGAAGTGAGTGTTAAATGACAGGTATGAGTTTGAAGAAGGATAACAGTGAATCTCATAGAAAAAGGTTTAGTTTTCTGACATGGGCAATTTATGTCATAAAGTATAAAGAAAAATTACTTATTTCTTTAACATACAGATTTCTTTTTGTACTAGAGGTCACTGTCTACCTGATTGGCAAGAATAGCTTTCTCTCTTTGGTTAAAGGATTCCAGAGAGTCTAAGAAGAGGGTTATTGGGCACTGTCACCTTCACTGTGGGGTAGAGGGGGAAGGCATCCAGCCCCATGAGGTGAGGGGGAACAGAGCAACATACTGCACAGTTCCCCGAAGTCCCATTGATTTCCACTCTAAAGACCCAATGGTTTTGTTAAATAAGAAAATATCGGTGTTGCAAGTCACTGCTGTCTGTAGTGACTCCTCCTGCAGAGCAGATCATTTGTTAAAATATAATTGCCTAAAATACAGTGATATTTACTTCACAGTGGTAGATGGTTAAAGGTGTTTCATCACTGAACATAAATGTTCACAGCGTTGTATGGCTGGTTTTGGTAGAGTCACCTCACAACAAAGCCAAGGAACAGAGCAGTGAAACAGAGCCACGAGATCTAGCACTGCAATGACTGGTTGCTCCTTGAGTGACTAAGGGGGGCCACCAAGCTGTAATTGTTTTTCTGACTTCTGTAAGGATAAGTATTTCTGTAAAATATTCAACATCAGAAATTCCCTATTTTGCTGCCTTAGTAAAACTGAGATGACAACTAATTTAGAAGACAAATTTTAATAAAGAAACAGTGAATGATTTTAATCCCTTACAAATAGCACAAATCCACTTGAGAAAGTATTCTTTAAAAAGTCCCTTTGATACTTAAAACCCTCCACTGGCACAGATTACCTTCTAAACTGCTAAATGATCTTTGCAACTTGAAATCATGGCTGATGAAGCACTTGGCACATACAGCAGTTAAGATATGCTGTATGTGCCAATTGAACAAAGTCAATTGAACAAAGGGTTAGAGCACTGAACACATCATCTACCAGTGTGTCACAAAGGGATTTACATGATGGGAACCCAAAACCAAGCTCTAGCAGTCAGTATAGCTCAAAGGTTTATGGCTTACTGAAGTAACCTCTTTTATGACAGTGAAATATTCAGTTACCAAAATACAGTATAAAGTGACAAACTGCTTAATATATGGCTAAAAATCTAATGCATAGAACAAATCATCACCACTCCTTTTTGTTATCCTATGAAAGAAATCACTAGATATGCTGTTCCTGAATTTAAGACATAACCAACCAAAAAAAGATAGAGTAGATATTTTCACAACTCTAAACATCAGAGCCAGATTTTTCCCCAGTCAATGCAACCAGAAGATATCTGCTCACAGTAACTATAAAAACCCTTAATACACCTGTACTCAGAGTTATAAACTGAAATTTATTGTGCAAATCATGCAATAACCTACAAACATTTTGAACAATGTCAGGCTCTCTCCTGAGGATAAAATACTGATAGAAGTTGCTGCTCTAACAATATGATAGGGCTTTAATTCATTATTTTATCTACAGGAAGGATCACAGAACCATGACTGAGATTTGTTAAGTATGATTTGACACAACATATCCCAGCTTAAAACCAACACAGCAGTTGTGTAACCTACCCTCTTTATAGAACCGTTTAGGATGGAAAAGACCTTTGAGATCAAGTCCAATTATTAAGCCAGCACTGCCAAGGCCACCACTAAACTGTCCCTAAGTGCCATGTCTACATGTCTTTTAAATCCCTCTAGGGATGGTGACTCCACCACTTCCCTGGGCAGCCTGTTCCAGTGCTTGACAACCCTTTCAGTGAAGAAATTTTTCCTAAGATCCAATCTAAACTTCCCCTGGGGCAACTTGAGGGCATTTTATCTTGTCCTGTCACTTGTTACCTGGGAGAAGGTAACCCCCACCTGGATACAACCTCCTTTCAGGGAGTTGTAAAGAGTGATAAGGTCTCCCTTGAGCCTCCTTTTCTCCAGGTTAAACACCCCCAGCTCCCTCAGCCTCTCCTTATAGGACTCGTGCTCCAGGCGCTTCACCAGCTCCATTGCCCTTCTCTGGACATGCTCCAGCACCTCAGTGTCCTTCTTGCAGTGAAGGGCCCAAAACTGAATACAGGATTGAAGGTCCTTTTCCAATGGGTAGTCTTCCAGTCACTCTGACCCCAACCTGTAGCACTGCCTGGGGTTGTTGTGACCCAAGGGCGGGACCTGGCACTTGGCCTTGTTGGACCTCATACAACTGGCCTCAGCCCATCAATTCAGTCCATCCAGATCCCTCTGCAGAGCCTTTCTGCCCTCCAGCAGATCAACACTCCCACCCACCTTGGTGTCATCTGTGAACTGACAGAGGGTGCACTCAATCCTCTTGTTCACATCATTGATAAAGATATTAAACAGGACTGGCCCCAGTACTGAGCCCTGGGGGACACCACTGGTGACCAGCCACCAGCTGGATTACACTCCATTCCCCACCACTCTCTGGGCCTGGACATCTGACCGTTTTTACCCAGGGAAGAGTGCACCTGTCCAAGCCATGAGCAGCCAGTTTCTCCAGGAGAATGCTGTGGGAAGTGGTGTCAAAGGCTTTAGTAAGGTCCAGGTAGACACACCCACAGCCTTTCCCTCATCCACTAAGTGGATCACCTCGTCTTAGAAGGAGATCAAGTTGGTCAAGCAGGACCCGCCTTTCATGAATCCATATTGGCTGGGCCTGATCCCCTGGTTGTCCTGCAAGTGCTGTGTGATGTCATGCAAGATGATCTGTTCCATGACCTTCCCCAGCACTGAGGTCATGTTGACAGGGCTGTAGTTTCCCAGACCCTCATTCCAGCTCTTCTGGGCTGATGGGTGTCATGTTTGGTGACCTCCAGTCAACTGGGACCCTTCCAGTTATTCAGGACTGCTGGTAAATTATGCAAAGCGCCTCCGTGAGCACTTGAGCCAGCATCCTCAGTACCCTTGGTACCCTTGGTACTCAAACCCATAGACTTGTGTGTGTCTTAAGTGGCAAAGCAGGTCCACTGATAATCCACCTTGGATTATGAGAGCTTCATTCTGCTCCCCGTCCCTGTCATCCAGCTCAGGGGGCTGGGTACCTGAGAACAACTGGTCTTACTATTAAAGAATGAGGCAAAGAAGATAGTAGGTACCTCAGCCTTGTCCTCAGCCTTTGTTACTATGTCTCCCCTTGCATCCAGGAATGGATGGAGATTCTCCTTAGCCCTCCTTTTGTTGCCAATACATTTCTAAAAACATTTTTTTATTGTCTTCTACTGCAGTAGCCAGATTAAGTTCTAGGTGGGCTTTGGCCCTTCTGATTTTCTCCCTGCATAACGTTAACCTGTCCCTACATAAATTTAACCTCTCCCTGCATAACCTAAAGGATTTAGATGAGCAATGAAAAAACCAATGCACATTCAAATGCTCAAATTATATCCTAGTTACACCTACATTTACCCCTTGGACACAGATTTACCTGAAAATCAGAATAATGGATCTAGTGAATTTAAAGTCTTTTAGGAATGAAATTATATAGAATCCAACTTTTACTAATAAAGGTCAACTCTTAGCTGTAAGTTTCCGCAAAAAGGCACTGAAAGAACAGTTTTGCTGTGCAACAGTCACCACATACATCCCTAGTGTTTGTAATTCAGCTAATTATAGTGTTCTTAAAACAAACCAAAACAACAACCCTAAGAAAAAAAAATCTGTCCACAGAACAGAGAGGTGGTTTGCGCAGCTCTGAGCATCTACATATTGTGGCAACATTTACATATTACAAAAATAAACAACTCTGTTTACAGTTTGTCAACTCCTATAATACGTATTCAAAGCCAACAGTAAAAATCTACCTGACAAGAAATGACCCTCACTGGGGAAGGCTGTTCTGGTGAGAGGAGGGTGTTGTAGTGGTACCTCCCTTTGTATGCTTTTTTCAATTCTACTTTTTTACTATCAGTACTAACCCCCAAGGAGTGCCTAATAAGCAGTTTCGGATTGGAGATTTTAGGAGTCCAGAAATCCTTCAAATCATTAAACTATGAACACAGATTTTTCCCTTATCTACAGCCTTACTCTGAAAAGTAAAAAGGTACAATAGGATTTCATGAAAAAGAAATGTATTTATTCCCAAAATATCATGACAAGGGATGTAACACATTTAAAACTTAATTACAGTGTGAGGCCTATAAAACACAACCCCCATTTAGCAGTCAGTCAGAGCCATCACCTTTGATGCTCATTTCCCCGGTTCCTCTGGAAGCAAGGGGGCTAACAGGATTCTGACTAAAGACAGGAGAACAAAAATATGCAAAGAATTCTCTTTAATAAGAAAACAGAAAGCAGGAGTAAGCCTTCAGATTTTAGACTGGCACTCAAGAACAATATGAGAGCATACAGAGCGGCCTCTGAAGAACCTTTTCTGTTTAACAAACCAAACCGTAATTACATGCAACTTACTCATCTCTGACTGGAAGGGTGATGCATATCATGTCTGGGAACACTTCTAATAACTGCCAGGGAAGCTTCACAAACTCCTTCTGTAGCAGCCCTTTCCATTAGTGAAGCTCACTGTTCTGAAATCCGCACAGCTACTGACTGAAATCTTTTTCTTTCTTACTTTATATAAACACAAGGCAATGTGTGCTTATGTAGAAAGGTTTTCTAAGAATTTTGAGCTATGTTCAAAATGATAAATTTTAGGAATAATCAAAAAATCTGACAAATTGTCAGCAACCATGCCTTTGTCAGAAATTTTCTACTATATCAGTTCAACTATAAGCAGAATTGGATCAATCAATACATAAACATGCTGGTAACAGGGAAATGCAAAAAAGTTAAAATTCATGAAATTCTGTTGTGACAGATATCTATTCCTTCTGATCTTGACAATAAAAAAATAAAAAGAAATAAAATGAAGTATAACTTCATAGCTATACTTAAACAGTACAACTGCTTAAGTTGTGCCCTAAAAGCCATCCAAGAAAATAGGGTCAACACTTTATTCCTTCAGAAGTTTCATAATGCTTCTTCTGATGTTGCTTTGACTTCTATTATTTCCTGACTAAAAAAAAGCAACTAATGATTGTAATTTTAAAAAATCAATTTTAATTTCAATTGTTGAAAATTAATTGTACTAATTTCATGTCTCCATGTAAATATTTTGTAGCAATGTTAAATATTAGTTGCTACTAGAAGAACCAGGAAGACACATGCAAAAGGTGTATCTTGTTATGGCACCATTCTGCATAAAATGAATGCTAAAAATTAATTTGGGCAAATCTGTATTATCTTTTTAACACATATGAATACAGCAGAAAATACAATAAAACGGACAATAAGACACAAGATTAACTTACCATTTGTATTTCTTCAGGTGACAGCTCATCTTCTCCTTTGCCATCCCCCCATAATCCAAGGTTACTTTGGGCATCAGGCAGATTCCTGTCTGTAAAAGAGCCACCAAACACCTGAGACAATACAGGGCACTGAACAGTACAGTGAAAAATAACCTTTCAGCCATGTTAGACTGCTGATGAAATTGTTGTATCTCCTTTGTCAGTAACTGAGATTCACCCTACATTTACAGCATGAAATTACATTGATAACCTTTACCATCCAAACTGGGCCAAAAGCCTATGTGCATGTTTAATTTTATGCACTAACATACTGACAGTGAAAGATATAAAACAACTCACAATGTACTAAGAGTTTTTAGGGCACAAAATACTGTGGCAGTTGTCTTTCAGCAGACAAAACCACAAAATTTTCAAAATAACAGTATATACAAACTATTATCTTCCAATGAGACTTGACAGTACCACCAGCTACTCATTCCAAAAACTAAAAACAGAATTTCGAAGATAATTTGTGCAAAGTTCACAGGACAAACTCTATCTCCTCATGCTGTTCAAACTTCCTGTTACAGCTCAAATCCCACACCACACTGTGCAAGGGGTCTTCCTGCATATAACAGGAATCAGCTCCAATCCCACAAATTAACCACAAGACATCAAAGTTGCTTCATATATTTGAGTAGTACTTCCCCTTTGATTAAAGCTAATCATCTGCATAAATCTTTGCAGGAGTCGGGCATAAAAGATCTTGAATGGCTATTTCTGGGATATTCCCTTCTGGAAGATTTAATTTTAGGCTTAATTATATACTTCTGATTACAGACAAAGAAGTTAGAATGGGGAAGAAAAGAAACTATGCTAGAGGAATCTACTGTTTCTGAAGCTTTTTTAACATCAGTGTTTAAAAAACACATGATAAGATTGCAGCCTTGAGAGGGCCTCTGTTCTCTCCACTGGCTGTGACATTTTTACAAAACTCAGAGATTTGCACCACCTCACAATGGATCAACGATGAACCTGCTTGGACTTATCAGATGCAGGTTGCAAATTAAAATACAGAAAGATTTAGCTTTTACTTTTTCATACATTCAGGCTTCCTATTTATCCCAGTAAATTTTTTCAGGCATTTATAATTATTTTAATTTATTTTGTTATAACCTTCTAAACCTATTTTTTTCAATTGCATATGCAGCACTGATGCATCAACATTCAGATACTAACTTGTCTTGAGAAGCCTCTGAAAGGAGTAGGCCTATTTATAAACACATATATGAAAACAGTTATTAGGAGAAGTTTTCCCTTTTATCCTTCACAATAGTATTTGTGAAAACTCTTGAAAAATAAATATCATAAAAGAGTATTGTTGTGTATGTCTCCTTTATAAATTTTTTTTTTGGTTTCCTAACAACCAAACCAGGATGCACAAACAATGGCAGTGTTACAAATGAGGGATGTGGATAAGGAATATAATAAATTTGAAAAAAAAAAAATCAGTTCTTTCTTTTGAGTAATAAGAAATAAACCCAAGAATAGCTTTAAAGATTTTTAGGAAGTATTTGACTCCGTTTCTTTCCATGGGGTATTATCAGTATTTCAAATCTATTTCACAGAAACACAAAACTAATTTGTTTAGGTAATCAATATATTTATATTTTATCAAAATTACAAGAAATTATTTACTTTATTCAAACAAAATAAGATAATTAGTTTATGGAGGAAAAAAAAAACGATATGTTCCTGTTTTATCCCAGAGGAACCAATTACTTTCAGGCACTCTCAGCACTGTTAAAAAACCAGTACCTGTATCCAATGTGATTGCTAATAAGCAAATATGGTAAGAGGCAAGCAAGAAACATGTACCTCCCCCTTGGGTTCTTCCTGTCACTGTGGTACATTTTGAGCTCTCTGCAGCTTTCAAAGAGCTGACAATAATGTTTTTCTGCAACTCAACCAGCAAAAGCCAAACTACATTTCTGATTCAGAAAGAGAAGCAGTTAACTCATGATGAAGATACAAAACAATCATCAAATCCTCTGAACCCTTTTCCATGCTGAAAGGAGACAGCTGCTAAGCTTGTGGACCACTTCAAAAGCTACTCATTATTTACATTTATTTCCATAAACTGTCAAATTTGTAATATGCAAATAAATACTGTCAGCATATAAAAGCAATCTCCAGAGAGACTATTTTCCTACCATGAGGCATGTCCACTATAATTCTAATGTAAACAGGTGCTTTGCCTCGAAACAAAAGTAACCACATTTTGTTTTGGTTTCTGCCAAAAAAACCCAGACACAACCCAAGTTGTGCTTTAGCACGCCAAGTAGGACATTCAGCTGTTCACCAGTGTTCAAATTATGGACAGGACCACAAGCTGTTCTCAGAAGTATCTTTACAGAGAGATTTAAAACAAGGGACCCAGGCATGCTGATGATGGCTAATTCCTAAAAACAAATTATCACCATTCTCTAAATCATCAGCATCCTGAATATGAAATAGTTTATTTTTAATGTGATCATTTCTCCAGTTTTTTAAAAATTTGAAAAGTTACTTGGAAAAAAAACCCAAAAATCAAAGGCTGTAAGATTTAAACTGAGCTTCTGGTTTCCTAGTCATCTTGTTCATGTTATTTTCACGCTTTGACAACCACCTACCAGCAAAGTCACAAGGCTGATTTCTATAAGCAGCAGCAACCAGCACTTATCCTTATGTGAGGAATCACAGGCTGTGTGCATTTACAAACTGTTTCAGACAGATTTGTTTTGATATAGAAGTTCCATAATTTTCTAGTCTAGTCAGCAATCCCTCATAAGGACTCCATCAGCATCACTTGTGTGGCAGGACCCCTACTTTCTCATAAAAATTAAAGCAAAAACTCATAAAAGTGAAACCCGAAGTAATCAAAATTAACATGCAATAAACAAAGCTGCATTTCTATTTATTGCAGTGGTTTGCTGTGTCCAAGGCAACCAAAGAACAGTATTTTCCATGGTGTGGTGCGGATTTTTGGAGCTAAAAATTGTGATGACACTACGTGGTGGGAGTGCACACTTCCAGAGATTGCGGGGGCATTCGGTGACAAGGAAAGAGCACAGGGCAATGAAGATGCTACTATGCTGCTGCTTCTCTGGTGGCACCAGCTCACAGCTGCAAAACACTGATAACGTGTTAAGGTGAAACTCGTCTATGTGCCTGTGTGCTGCATCACTTAGGACAGACTATAAGAAGGTAGTAACCGCTAGAAACGGCACGTAATCAAAAGCTGTACTTCTTACAATAAATTCAGCGTCGGGGGCTGATAGGGCTGCAGAAGTACAAACTGGTTAGGAAGATAAGCAATGACATATCAGAAAATGTTCACACGCTGTGTGATAATTCAGTATTAGAGTCTTCATCCAGAAGTGGAGTACCCACTTCACATGAATCCACCCTCTGTACGGCCCTGGAATCGGTCTCACAATATGCTTCTCAAAAGCCTGATCAGCTCAAGGAAGATTCAAATCACAGCAATTGGCCTTTCTAACAAGAAGGAAGTACTATTGACCAGACAGGCCTTGCCACAAAAAGTAGAATATAACTACATTTTATTCTTACCTTTACTTTCCTCAGCAGAAAGTTTTTCTTCAGAATCATCTAAAGGATTTAATGAAGATTTTTCAGGGGATAGAGGTGATTTGGACACATTGGTCTGCTCAGGTTCAAGTCTGGACCTAGAAGAACAAGAGCCTATAATTTAACTGATACTACACAAAAAAAACATTTCTCTAAAATGAGAACCACAGATTACTAAATCCAATATTTTAACTCTTGCAAACTTCACAGTA